GGGGGGGCAGCAGGGGCCAGAGACCCACGGGCTTCTCGCCACCGTTGCCAAGGGAAGGGGGGAACTTGCTGCGTTCTGTCTTCAGGATTCACTGGTGGACTGCTGGAGTCTGCAAGGCTCTTGCTCCAACCCGGGCCCTGAGGGCAGGGCCCATCCAAGACATTGAGTGGCCTCTGAGGGTGGGCTCCGTGGGAGAGTGCTTGCCCAGCATGCAGAATGCCCTGGGTTCAAACTCCTGCTCTACAAAAATAAAGAATGAAATTAAATTTTAAAAAGAACATAGTGCCTGAGAGTTTCAGGAACAAGTTTCAAGGTGGAAGAAGCATAAATAAATGGCCCTATGGCCTTACCTACCCCAAGTCCCCACCTCCCATCCAGGAACTTGCAAAAGGTTGGAACATTGAGTGGACAGAGTAGCTGCCACCTTGAAATATTCTGAAATCCAGTTAGGTTTCCTCAGTTTTATTGCCATCACCATATTCCAAGTCTGTCTTCTATCACCTGGCCTACGGTCACGGTCATCTAAATAGGATCTCTTTCTCTGATCTTGACCCCTGCTTGGGACCACATACAGGGGTTTCAAATCTTGGCTCTGCTTCTTATTAGCGATTGGTTGGGGACAAGGAGTCTGCCTTTGTGACCCACCCTTTTGTCATCTCAGAATAGGACAGACATAGTCTCCTAAATGGGATTCTAGCAACACACAATTAGCCCACAACTTGACCTAGCAGGGATTCAAAAATCATTGCTGTCAACTTCTGAGTAGATGCTGTCCAAACGTTTTCCAAACAGGGTATGTAAAAATGTCAGAATTGAGACTTTGAGACACAATGTGCTAAGTTTATTACACATGGTACACATGAAACTTTCCGGAAGTTTTTGGAGAATAGAGAAGTCGTCTCTGGAAGTGAGAAAATCTGCCAGAGGAAAGAAAGACTGCCATACATGTCCTTCTTTTTATAGCATTTTTTAAAATTTGCTTTTTTTTTTTTGTAAGCATGCAAAAAATTTGAGGAGTCACTGTGCTCCCAGATGGGTAAAACAAAGCTCTTAGGATGCAGAATTGTACACTCACAAGACTCTACAGAAACCACTGCTACCATGAGACTTTTCTGTACATTGAATTTGCACATTGGGTGTGTGTGTGCACAAACACATGTCAGCTTGGATGAAGTGTGGGCTTTGCACACCTGGGTTAACTTTCCTTTAGAAATCTTAGGCTGGAAGTGAGGATGCCATGCAGTCTCCATGGTTTTCTGGTGCTCCCGGACCTGTCGGCCTGTCTTCCTTGTGGTTTCACGGGGCCGGCAGATATCTGCCGTTTTCTCAGACTTGTCTGGGATCCGGAACACTAATGAAAGCTTTCTCCATGTGTTCTCGGCTTAGCAGGTCCCCTCCTCCTTGGTGACATCCCCTGTCCTCTTTGAAGATGTCTCTGCTCTTGTTCTGCATGTTGGATTGGTTAGTTTGTGGCAATCTCTCTGGTTGGTAGCCCTAGCAGTTGGTTCAGAAATAGAAACCAGGCCCAAAAGACTTAGTCACAGTACTTTCTTCAGAGACTTTATGGATGACTAGATGGTATTTGGGGGAGAGATTTTTTTTTTCTTAGCTCTAAATTGGAATGATTCTCGCTGAAAAAAAAACAAAGTCAGCGTCTAGGCCTGTATTGCATGACTCAACAGTTTCACAAAAGAAAAGAATGACAATAAAATAGAGAGAAGGGTAACCCGAACGTGGAGGAAGAAAAATGAGAAACGACCCAAAGTATCATTGGAAGCTCTTAAGTGTTTCTTGTTTTTACTTCCCGTCAACCTATTTAGGAGAGAGATGCTCTAAAGAATAAGGATACTTTGTTGGGAAGAGCCGAGCATCATGGTGATGGGGTTACAGGCACCGTGCTGAACCGTGAGCATATAGGAAGAGGGTTTTTGTTGTTGTTTCTGTTTTTTTTTCTTTATGCCTCCTTTTTTAAAAATTATTTTTTTTTAATTTGTTCGTTTTAGATATGCATGATAGTGGCATGTACTTGGACATATTATACATACATGGAGAAAAACTTGTTCTAATCAGGATCCCACTCTTGTGGTTGAAGACGATGTGGAGTTTCACGGGTCCTGTATTCACATATGAAAGTGATGTCCGATTCATTCCACTCTCTTTCCTATTCCCATGGCCCTCCCTTCCCTTCATTCCCCTTTGCTGGCAAAAGGCGGAAGGAGGAGGACCATGTAGGACGTCTTAAAATGATTATCCTTGACTAGGATGAGTAACCAGGGTGACTCCAGACTGAGACTGAAGAGGCAGCCACATCATCCTGTAGAGGTCACAGTGGCCTTTGAGCAAGGTTGTGTATTCTTCTGTGCCACATTTGTGTCACGTCCACACGTGGGCGAACTCCTGCTTCACCACCTCCCGGCTGTGTTTGTGTATTTTCTTGGCAAGGGCTTGACAAAAGTGACTCCATTTTGATTCTCGCAAAATTTCTCCACTGAAAATATTTATTGGAGATTCTTAAGCGTTTTACCTCTAACCCCTGAATTTCTAGATATCATAATATAAAGTATTCCTCTCTTTTAAGCTAGTTCGGTTGAATTCCTACCCCGGCATACCTGAGTTCTCACTATCGCGCATTTTTAAGTGAATATGATTCAAGGGATGTGCCCAT